CTCACTCATTTGTACTGTTTGTCACATTGTACAAAACTCAGTCTGCAGAATCCTCCAACCAAGATGTAAAATAAACATCAGTTTCCTTCTGATTGACTCAATAGCTTACGATCACTCTCTCTTTAGCATACCACAGAGGGTACAGCCTGAAGCTGGGGCTCTTACATTTGCAGGTTCTGGTCTAATACATTCAACACTAAATTCCCAAACCTAATAAGAAGAGGCTTGGAGTACTGTACTACAATGATATCAAGAATTCACATTTAGCAGCAAATGTGTATTCTTGACCACTACTGTGGTACGCCAAGCTAATGGTTCAGATGTTGACATTTTAACAGGTGACATTAACGCAAAATGGTACAACGAAGATCCATTAACACCTTATTGAAGAACATTTAAACATTAAATGGCACTATTGTTGAATTGTCAAATGGCAAATAATAATAATCCTTGAATTTGATATAGCGCCTTATCACGTCTTTGAGACGCCTAAAAGCGCTTCACAGAATATACTGAAAGTGAATTGGCTGTGTATTTTGTGGCCGAAACGTAGCAGACAAGTGTCCCACAAACAGTCAAATTCAAAACACAAACAAATATGATTGGATCAGAAAGGCAACCCAGGTATCCTTAGCAGATAGATAAGATCTAGTGACTGCTATTATAATTCCAACATATGCAATCTTTTCATAAAATATATTGCTGCATAGTCGTGGCTAGGTGTATTGTCATGTACAATAATGATGGGTATGGTCTTATCAATCTGTATTTATGTATAGACACCAGTTCTGGTATCTGTTACTGTTATTTAGAGCAAATACAAATATCAAATATTTTGTGGAAGGTACAACATCATATACAATATCCATGTATAGAATAGTGGGGCTGACCCGTGGGTGATGAAGAATTGCCAGCTCGACTTACTGTGCACTTCAAAGCATAATATAATTACTAACTGATCATGGCTCAATTCAGGTCATTGTCTGGACTATCAGTACTGGGATAAACCTATTCAAAAGCTAGTGATTTTACTTGCAGCTAATATAGCCCCTGTAACTGAAACATTCCAAAGAACTTCTTGACCAATTTCTGTCACGTGTAATGACTACTTGTGGCCATTTGTGCATTCTGAAGGACTGCCTCAGTTGGTAGCACTTTTGCCTTTGAGACAGAGGTTGTGACATATCAGTTGGACGGCCGTCATCACTCCTATCCTAAACAAACCCTCCCTGGACCTATCACTGCTCTCAAACTACAGCCCCATCTCCAACCTTCCTTTCCTCTCCAAGATCCTGGAACGAGTTGTTGCTTCGCAGCTTTGCTCCTTCCTCTCCCGCAACTCCCTTCACGAACCCCTCCAATTGAACTTCCATGCTGCCCAACAGCAAAGAAACAACGTTGGTCAAAGTGACAAATGACATTTTGTCCATCTGCAACCAGGGATCCCTCTGCCTCCTCGTCCTCCTTGACCTCTCTGCTGCCTTTGACACCATTGACCAGTCTATCCTCAATCACTACCTCTCCTCTCACCTCAACCTTCACGGCACTGTCCTTGACTGGTTCAGATCGTCCTTCTCACACATTCTCCACTTCATTTTCGCAAACAGTTTCTCCTCTAGCCCCCGCACTATCTCATGCAGCGTTCCTCAGGGCTCTGTCCTTGGTCCCTTCCTCTTCAATATCTATATGCTCCCTCTTGGTGACATCATCCGCAGACAAGGGGTCAACTTTCACATGTGTGCGGATGACACCCAACTCTACCTCTCTGCCTCCACCCTTGATTCCAGAATGTCTGTCAGACATCAAGTCCTGGATGAGAACTAACTTTCTTCAGTTGAAAGTCAACAAGACTGAGGCTCTCCTGATTGGCTCCCATCAGCGCCTTCTCACCTCAGGCTCTGATAGCATCACCATCCATGGTTGCACACTGCACCTTACTAAGCCAGTCCGAAACCTTGGGGTCTTCTTTGACTCTCAACTATTCTTCCTACCCCACATCCATGCCATGACCAGCTCTGCATTCCCCATCACTGCAACATCACCCGGCTCCGCCATCGTCTCACACCACAACCCGCCGAAATCCTCATACACGCATTCATTACATCGAAGCAAACTCCTTGCTTGTTGGCCTTCCCGACTCCTCCCTTCATAGGCTGTAGATCATCCAGAACTCTCAGGCCATGTCCTCTCCCGCACTATGCTCCATGACACTATCATTCCCATCCTCGCCCGACTCCACTGGCTTCCCATCACACAGTGGATACAGTTCAAGATCCTGGTCCTCAGCTTCAAAGCCCTCCATGATCTTGTTCCCCCCTACCTCTGTGACCTCCTAACCCCCTATCATCCTGTTCGCTCCCTCCACTCAGCGGGCTCCAGCCTGTTTCACGTTCCCCGCCTCGCTCGCTCCATCATTGGCAGGCGGGCCTTCTGCCACTCTGCCTCCACCCTCTAGAACTCCATCCTGCAGTCCCTCTACCTTGCCTCCTCCCTCGCCACCTTCAAGACCCATCTCAAGACTCTCTTCTTTGACTGTGCTTTCGATCACCTGGCATCCCTCCCTGCTCTCCATCCTCCTTCATTCCCAACCCCCAGCTCGGGTCCAAAACTCTGACTGTCCAGTACCTTGGGACATCCTCCTGACATGAAAGGCACTATCCAAATGTAATTTTGTAGTTGTCGTTGTTGGACTTCAAGTTCAGAGTCTAGCCTGAAAATCTAATGCAGTGCTGGAGAAGTGCAACTTTGTCAGAAGTTCTGATTTTCAGTTGGGTCATTAAACTGCGGTATTGTCCGCCTACTCAGGTGAATGTTAAAGATCCCATGACATTTTGAAAAAGAGAAGGGAATACCTCCTGGTGTCCTGGACAACACTTCTCCAGGTAAAATTAACCATTCACTTCATGGATGTTTGTGGGACATTGCTGTGCAAAAATTGGCTGCTGTAGTTTTCCTCCAAATACAGTTACTGCACTTTACAATAAATCCTATGAAGTGCTTTGGAACATTTCAATGACATGATAAGCCACTATATGAAATGCAAAGNTTTTTTTACAGCATAAATAGTTCTGCTATCTTGATCAAAAACAGTGGATGATGGGTGATCCCCTGTCCTCTACCTCACTTTCTCCTTTATCTTCCTTGTCCTGCCTCCCCACCTCTCTGTTAGCCCTTAAAAGCCTCTCCCTCCCAACATGCTCCAGTTCTGACGAAGGGTCGTGTACCTGAAACGTTGATTCACTTTCTTTTCTCCATAGATGCTGCCTGACCTGCTGAGCGTTCCCAGCGACTTCTGTTTTTGTTTCAGATTTCCAGCATCTGCAGTATTTTCCGTTCTGCTATCTTGATACCTATCCAAACTATAATATGAATTCGCTCAGCTTTATGTATCTCTGGCGATCAATTGCAGGTTTGCATTAACAAAATCAATGATAATAATAATTATTGCATTTGATATAGAGCCTTATCACATCTTCGAGACATCTCAAAGAGCTTCATAGAATATACTGTAAAGTGAATTGACTGTATATTTTGGGGGCGAAAGGCGGCAGCCAATTGTGCACAGCAGTGTCCCACAAACAGTGGTGGATTGAGTGAACAATTTTACCCTCGGAAAAGCGATTTGCCAATCGACTAACAACCACTTGGTTACAACAAATGATTACATCACAATTCTAATTACAATACAATACAGTATGTGAACTCAAACCTTTCAACCTGAAACTTTTTCTCTGCCTCACAAAAACTAGAATTCTGAGATTTCTGGGTTACTTAGTAGAATTCAATGGCAAAATCTGTCAAAATATAATCAAATCATTACTATCATTTAAAGAGCAGCCAAATACTGTATGATCATCCATGCCATTTTTAAATTTAAACAAGTTTTCCAATGGCTCAGTTGCTAAAGCCATTGCCAAATATTGAAGCAATATTAAATTGCCTAATATTGAATTGCTCTTTGCTTGTTTCTTAATACTGGGGTCACAGTATGATGCAACACTTTCCACAGAATAACTTGCCATATGCAAAGGTGGATATCACACGAGAACAGGATTATGCTTAATGGTATAATGCGAGGCAGTAGGTTTAATATTCTGGAAGGATGAGTTCAAATACGCAAAGAGTTTGCTCACATAGTTGTTTGTCGAAACCACGTTTGATTTAAAATTGCTCGTGATTCAATTTTACCAATCAGTATTCCGATGACGCATCATTCTGGTCCTGGATGCTGATCGTAACATCCGAATGAAACTTTTAGAAGGTGGAACTCCAGTCCATCCCGTCTCCTGACTTTACAGTTGAATATCCAAATCCACATCCAAAGTCAGGAGAATGATTAGCAGGAAGGTAGCCAGCAAAGCAATTTTTTTTGTGCATGTGTGTGTGTGCTACATTTTCTGATCATTATACCTCCACACCCATCACACCACCACACCCCGACATGATAAGTTGCTGTATCAAATGCACCGACTGTCATAACATGGGGAGGGAGGGAAGGAGGGAGGGAGGGAGCCAAGCAGTCAGCAATAATAATCCCTCCAAAAACCCCAAACAATAATAAATTGGTCATTTTCAATCTACGACTGTCTGTGGGGCATTGCTGTGCGCAATTGGCCGCCGCGTTCGCCCACAAAATATACAGTCAATTCACTTTACAGTGTGTTCTGTGAAGCGCTTTGGGACGTCCTCCCGACGTGAAAAGCGCTATATCAAATGCAAGGATTATTATTATCATTATAATGCAATGGGCATTCAGCCAAGTGCACTGCGCACACCTCACTGACTGTTCACTCACTCACTCACTCACTGCTGATGCCATCTGACAAGTGACCCAGTCCCGGGGGGGTGGGGGGAGCAGCTGATTGGTCCAGGGCCCAAATGGGCGGGGCGCATTTCGCGCCCCGCCCATTTGGGCCCTGGACCAATCGGGGCTGTGATTGGCCGAGCGGGCGGAGGGGCGGGGCGGGTCACTGTCACTGTCGCATCTCGCTCCGCGCGCCGCGGCGGTTGGAGGATCCGGACGTATGGCGGTGAGCGGAGACCCGCGGCTGAGCCAAGCCGTCAGCCAGTGGCTGCAGTGGGACAAGGTGAGGGCAGGGAGGGAGCGGGGGAGAGGTGGGGAGCGGGGTGAGGGGAGGGAGGGGTGTGAGGTGAGGGGGGAGGGGGGGGAGGTGAGGTGAGGGGGGAGGGAGGTGAGGAGGATGAGGTGAGGAGGGAGGGGGTGAGGGGAGGGAGGGGGGAGGTGAGGTGAGGGGGGGAGGGGAGGGATGAGGTGAGAGGGTGAGGTGAGGGGGTGAGGTGAGGGGGTGAGGTGAGGGGGGAGGGGAGGGATGAGGTGAGAGGGTGAGGTGAGGTGAGGGGGTGAGGTGAGGGGGTGAGGTGAGGGGGGAGGGGAGGGATGAGGTGAGAGGGTGAGGTGAGGGGGTGAGGTGAGGGGGTGAGGTGAGGGGGGAGGGGAGGGATGAGGTGAGAGGGTGAGGTGAGGGGGTGAGGTGAGGGGTGAGGTGAGGGGGGGAGGGGAGGGATGAGGTGAGAGGGTGAGGTGAGGGGGTGAGGGAGGAGGGGAGGGATGAGGTGAGAGGGTGAGGTGAGGTGAGGGAGGAGGGGAGGGATGAGGTGAGGAGGAGCTGATGCCGCCGCGTTACCTGACTGAGTGCCAGTGCAGTGAGCGCAGGGCCGGGCCCCGGGACAGCACTTTACCCCTTTTCAACTCGTCCTCTCCCTGTGGTTGACAAGTGTGTGGCCAGACCAGGCCGGGCAGCTGCACAAACTGACACCCAGCACAGTCCAGCACAGCCCTAGCCAGCCCAGCACAGCACAGCACAGGCCAGCACAGCACAGGCCAGCACAGCCCTAGCCAGCCCAGCACAGCACAGCCCTAGCCAGCCCAGCACAGCACAGCCCTAGCCAGCCCAGCACAGCACAGCCCTAGCCAGCACAGCACAGCACAGCCCTAGCCAGCCCAGCACAGCCCAGGCTAGCACAGCCCAGGCCAGCACAGCCCAGGCTAGTCCAGCACAGCCCAGCCCAAGCTAGTCCAGCGCAGCCCAGGCTAGCCCAGTCCAGCCCAGGCCAGCCCAGCACAATGTCACTCTCCCTCCGGGCTGCCGTATGTTTAGTTAGTCTTTACAGCAATTGGGGTTTGTACTTCTTTTCATCTTTACCGATTCGTTTGGCTGCACTCGTACATTTACTGGTTCATTTACTTGTACGTTTACTTATTATTATTTGTTTATTTATTTGTTTATTTACTTGTTCATTAACGAGTACTGTACAATTTACAACAACCACAAAATTATATTTGTAAAGCGCCTTTCACGTTAGGAGGACGTCCCAAGGAGCTGGATAGTCAGAGTTTTGGACCCGAGCTGGGAGTCAGGGTGGGGAGGGTGGAGGGCAGGGAAATTGAAAGCACGGTTGAAGAAGAGGGTCTTGAGATGGGTCTTGAATGTGGCGAGGGAGGGGGCGAGGCGGAGGGACTGCAGGATGGAGTTCCAGAGGGTGGGGGCAGAGTGGCGGAAGGCCCGCCCGCCAATAGTGGGGCCAGCGAGGTGGGGGATGTGAAGCAGGCCGGAGCCTGCTGAGCCGAGGGAGCGAGCAGGACGGTAGGGGGTTAGCAGGTCGCAGAGGTCCGGTGGAGCAAGACCATGGAGAGCTTTGAGGGTGAGGACCAGGATCTTGATCTGTATCCTCTGTGTGATGGGAAACCAGTGGAGTCGAGTGCGGATGGGGGTGATAGGGTCACGGAGCCTGGTGCAGAGTTCTGGATGATCAGCAGCCTGTGGAGGGAGGAGTTGGGGAGGCCGACAAGCACGGAGTTTGCATAGTCAAGCCTCGATGTAATGAATGCATGTATGAGGGTTTTGGTGGTCTGCGGTGTGAGACAGTGGCAGAGCCGGGAAATGTTGCGGAGTTGGGGGAAGGCAGAGCGGCCCATGGCACAGATGTGGGATAGAAAGGATAGTTGAGGATCAAATACTGGATCCATTCAAATTTTCAAGACTGATCTTTGTCAGGTCAGGGTATCAAAGGATATCGGGCAAAGGCCAGTAATTGGAGTTGAGGTACAGATCAGCCATCATCTTATATAATGGTGGAACAGGTCCGAGGGGCTGAATGGCCGCCTCCTATTCCTATGTATTGTACATGATGCTTAGAGCAGACTCTGTTATATGCTCATTTAAATGCTTTTGTACAACCTAGGTTAAATATCACTGGATAAAATATGTTTCAAAAAAGAAACTAGGTAAGATGCCATGAAGCTTGATTTGCTGAATTGCATGAACTGATCGTCTTTCCTCCCTGAAATTTACTGTGTGACCTCCTTAGTTGGAAGTGTTGCCTGTTATGAAGTCTGCGCTAATGACTTGATTAAAGAGTATTATGACCCTTACTGGCCCTAAGGTGGTTATCAACTGACACACAATTTGGTGCCATCTGTTACACGTGCAAGGAAGATTAGAGTTTATATCTGTCGGTCAGTTTTCTGTCAAGTTTGAAATATTATGACTGCTGAAGATGAGTGTTTCATAAATCAGATGCAACAAATTATGTTTGTAAAGGGCCTTTCACACCGGGAGGAGTCAAGGATTTGGATGTACTACCGTTATCTCAATTTTTGTTTTACATAACACATGTTACAATACAATTACTGGGTTCACTTTGCTCATGTGAAATTGCTGTCATTTTTCTTGAATATGAATGTTCTGTGTTGTATTGTGATTTTTTGCGCTGTTAACATTAAAAAAACTCGGCAAATAATTTCATAAATTTGAGGGATATCAGGAGACCAATTCCATTTTTCAACTCTTCTGTCCATCCATAATTGAGCATTATTGTACATTTCTGTTAAGTTTCTGCTTTTGCTCGCCTGGCATTTAAAAAAAATCTTTTGGGATCAAAAGTGACCACATGTAATCACATGTCATAAAGATTCCATATCTTATTCTATGTATAAAAGTGTTAAACTTCCGATTAGATAGGAAGTCCAGGTTCTTGTCTTTACTTTCAATTCCTCAATCAGTACCTGTGACACTGCTGCCCTGGCGGCTTCCTCCGCTCAGCAAACAGCTGCCGACTTCATGTCACCGGCTCTCTCCACTCTGCTATAGGAGGTGAGCTTTCTGCCATTCCGGCCCACCTACTGGAACATCCTGGAGTCCTTGTGCCCTCCATGCCTTCAAAACCTGCCTTGAGACCCATCACTTTTTGACTGTGCTTTCAGTCAGCATCTACTCCACCCCCCCCCCCAAAGCTCAGACTCCTAGGCAAGTTCTGTGACGTGCTAACACACCCTTGATTTGGATCAAGTTATATTACACTTTGAGACATCCTCTCAACATGAAAGGTGCCACATAAGTGTCATTTTTATTATTGCTAGAAAATTCATGTTTGAATTATTATCTTTTTCCTTCAATATTCTTTGTATTGCCATTGATGCATGTAGTCAACTCCAGACAGTAGTTATCTTAAAGATACATTAATGAAGACAAAGAAACATTTAAATCTAGACCTGTCAGTATTGTTTAGTATTAAAATAAGAGGACATTTCTTTACTCGGAGTTATGATGTTGTTCCACTTCCAGAAAGGCCTGTTGATTCAGAGTTGGTGGAGTGTTTAGAGGAAGTGGATGAATACTTGACTGGGGCATGGGGAAAAGGCACGTCAGTGGTATTGAGTTATAAATCAGCCACAATCTGAGAAAATTACAGAACTGAATGGCCTATTCCTATTCGTGAAGATTTTGCTGTATGTTGCCATTATATGTTGTCCTTATTCCATCCCTCAATTTGGGGTCTGCAGGTTTGTCAAAGTATAAAAATGTCAGCAACAATCCCCACTTTAAAGCTAACAGTAAGCCAGGCTGGGGGTGGGACTGTCTCTGGTGTGATTGACAGCTTTGGGAGTCAGAAAAATAAACGATTCCCACTGATGAAATGTATGCAGAGTCTGTGTTATAGTTTAATAGTGAAACTGAACGTAAACATACTTTCTTCCCCTCTCCCACCCCCAAATTTTCATTAGGGGGTCACAAGCCTTCCTGTTTGCCCTGCCGCCCCCTCTTCCAGTTCCATCCTGACTTTTGCACAACTTTCTTGGGGAAGTGTATCCAGCGTTGCTGCTCACTGTTCTTCCTCTGGGCGGCCTTGGCCTTTTTAACGTGCATGTCCTTTTCAACCTGCTCCCACTTTTTTAAATGTTGCACTTCAGTTTGAGCTTCAAAAACTCCTGCGTTATCATTCACCCGACCAGTGTCAGCTCGGCCAAGTACTCCATGTGCTCTGCCATGATTGTGGCATTAACTGACAATACAATACAAAATTACACTTGTATAGCGCCTCTCACGTTGGGAGGATGTCCCGAGGCACTGGATAGTCTAGGATTTGGATCCGAGCTGGGGGTCGAGATCGTGGAGGGTAGGAGGGTGACCGAAGGCACGGTCGAAGAGAACGGTTTTGAGACGAGCCTTGAAGGAAGCAAGGGAGGGAGCGAGGTCAAGGGAATGTGGGATGGTGTTCCATAGGGTGGGGGCAGAAAGGCTGAAGGCTCGACCACAGCTGTGAGGGGGAGTGGGAGGAATTTGAACTCTACTCTCTGGGGGATGGAAAGCCAGTGGAGCCAGGCAAGGGTGGGGGTTATGGGGTCACGGAGCCTGCTGCGGGAGGGGACCCGAGCTGCAGAGTTCTGGATGATATGCAGCTTGTGGAGGGAAGAGTTGGGAAGGCTGACAAGCAGGGAGTTGGCGTAGTCGAGCCTAGATGTAAAACAGGTGTTTTAGCCCTGTGCAAGGTAAAAGTACTTGCGTTGAATTTTCATACTCATTCTTTTACACATTTCCCCCTAAACCTATGACTTCTACTAAATTTACCATGGCAAATCTGCAGCCCTACTCATTTTTGAGCAAATTATTTGTAGTATGAAATTCATAGTTTAATTTTTTCCATAGTTCTGTGTTAAAATGAAGAATGTTGTTTGGCTTCCCCACAAAGAAGGATGTTTTCACAGGGAAATTGAACACTTCTCCCTTTTGGCTTCCTGACTCTGCATTAGACACTCAGGAACTGTGTGTTATCTTTTTAGTATGCTATAATTACAACCTTGGAATCCACCTTCTACAACATTGTACTCATTTGTTAGCACTCACTACATACAATACATGGTAATGTTTGAAAATAAGTATACCCAAGTCGACAAAATACTGTAATGTGTAATGTACCGGGGATATTTCCTTTTGATGTATTGTACATTTTGTACTTTTAGCGCCTTTGATTTTATGTTGCAGTTTGTTCCATGCAGAATCCATTAATGAGATTAAGATATTTCAGACCAAATTTTCTCTTAAGATTTTTTTTAAAAAAGTGCTTTGATTTATTGTAGGTGCAATATTAAATTCCACTGTTATCAAAAGTTTTTGCATATATTAATTTTTAATATCATATTCTGATGTAGAATGCCAAAACAATAGCAGAAGTCCAGCAGTTGGTGGCTGATGGGAAGGTTAAATTGCTGCGTGAATATTTTGGGTCAAGGATGGTGTTTGGAACAGCAGGACTCCGGTCAATGATGGCACCAGGATTTTCTCATATTAATGACCTTACAATTATTCAGACAACCCAGGTAAGCGACGGTGAATATATTCATCTCAATATTGACACAGAATACTGTCTATCTGCCAATTGTTGTAATTGGGCAACATAGAGCAAGAACTATGCCCAGTTCATCTCTCTTCTCACAATAGGGGTATACCATCGCAAAAAAAAGTACAACTGATGGATAAATAGAAAATTTAGGGCAACCCCTGTTAAAATGACGTCTGTGAGCAATATTCCATACCCCACATTATAAGTCAAGCAAAAGTAAATGACCAACTTCCAGGTAAATGGGTGACCAATGATGATATTTCCTTTGTAAAGTGACGTCAGTGGTCTTCCTGCACATGGGCAGTCTGTGGGAAGTGACATCAGCAACAGTTCCCGTACATAGGACACGTATGTAAAAAGTAACAGCAGCAGTGACCAGACAACCAGAAGGGGCAGTGTTGACTAACCTCAGGATACTTTGAGTTATTTAAATTTGATTTAATCAAAATAACTGAGGCATCCTTCAAGTGAGATAATTGAATTATTGTCTAACAGCATTTAAAAGGGAATTTGATAAATACTTGCAGGAAAAATTAATCATGTGTAAAGAGGAATGAGATTAGCGTAAATTGCTTTAATAGGGGAGCTTGCACCCATTTTATAATGGGTTAAGTTACCTCTTGTGCTTCAGTTATAAATTCTTCACGTTAGTAAAATATTAATTAGATATAGTTTTCAGTTCTTTAATTTTTAATGGGAGTGGAAGAGTGCACTAAGTGAACAGAATAGTGTAATCACAGGAACCAGGAACTGCAGAAAAGATCAATAAGTCTATTGAGCAAAGGAGAAATGTAATAAAGTGATAACGTTGGGTTTACTGTTGTGTTTTTCACTGTTAAAAGTACATCCAAAATGTCCATTTAGCTAAAAAAAAACATTGGCAATCAACAGATAAAACAAATACACGTTTACATAACGCCTTTCACATCATGAGGATGTTCCAAAGAGCCAAGATGGGGATGCAGCTGAGGGAGTGGAGTGGGATTAATCATTTTACCAAGAATAACTGTTTGTAGTTTTCAAAGTTATTTAATCTGTCATCAATAATGCTGTCATTTATTTTTGTATTCCTATTGCATTTCTCAAAAAACTCTCGTAAATTTTTTTGAAATCCAACCTTTTAGCAGCCATCCAATGGAATGCAATGCCTATAAAAGTAGAGGAGTTGAAAGGTGTTCAATATCCGAACAAATTATTCCAATCAATTGAAGGCTTTATCCATTTTTGAAAATCAAGTCTTGAACTCACATTCATTTAATATTTCTCTCTAATTTCATGCTTTTGCTCATTTAGGGGTTGTGCAGATACCTGGAAAAATCATTCCCAGATTTACAAACCAGAGGTGTAGTGATTGGATTTGATGCACGTGCTCACCCTTCCAGTGGAAGCAGCAGCGAAAGGTGGGATTTAACTAATCTTCAAAATTGCATTTTAACCGACATAGATCTGCCTGTGACTTGCTCTGTAAGGCAAGTAAGTCTGTTGGGCTATCTGAGGTCCAGTGGGAAAGCTTGCCAGACAGCTTGCCATTGAAAGCACTATGTAGTTTTAGTTGGTTAAACTTCAATAGTACCCCAATAAACACCCTGGGGTCGCCATGGTGGCGTTTATCAGCCTGCACCTAATGCACTCCAGAATTGGGTAAGCAGAATGTGTCCCTCCAGGGAGAGAGTGTGTATTCCATTCCATTCACAGGAGTCTGCATATGTAGGTGGGACGCATGGTATTTTCTGGTTTGGATAATCTTAAACATGGTGATTGGCAACTGCATGTGTCGGACACATGGCTGAACAAAAAAAATGCTAATTGTTGTTATAATGGATTGTCTTTCTTCATTTCTTTCTAAGAATTAGAAGAGTTAGAAGAATTCTTGAAATGAACTGGATGCTGCTGCAAAGAAGTGGGGAGTTTGCAGGCAGTTTTGTAATCTTCAAATGTGTAATGAGTTGACTTCCAGGTGAAAATTATATATTGGTACTTATTTGCTCATTTTTAATTTAATCTGTTTCTGTATCTTGCAGATTCGCCAGACTTTCTGCCACTGTACTGATTAGCCAGAAGATTCCTGTACATCTTTTCAGTCAGATAACACCAACCCCCTTTGTGGTATGTGATTGACTTACCTTCTTTAAAATTTTTACTTGTGGTCTTGCTCACTTATTTTTGTACTTTGCTCATGTAAAGAACAGCTTAAAAACCTATTTGTGTTTGATCTGAGTTCACTAGTACTTACTGGTAATAAATGTTTCTTTTGTTCAAAACCATTTGCCTATAGTAAATTGCCATTGTTCCATACTTTTTCTCTCCATCCATATGTGAGGGCTCAATATGTGCATTAATTTTCTTTTGCTGACGTGTGCTATTCTCATTGATAAATAAATATTCCGCTCCCTGCTTTCAATTAGTATTGTCTACAATGCTTCAGTGTTGCTTGGTATCTCTGGGTATCTTTAGTTCTGTGGAAATCTTATAGCTTCATTTTATTTTTAATATTGATCCTTTGTTTTGGCCAGTCAGCTTTCTTTGAGGCCCACATTTGGCTTCAAGATTTGTGTTGAGTAACCTTCTCTCCCTGCCTTCAAAAATCTTGTTTCCAGTCATGCAATAATACTCAACATTTTTAAAAATGTAAGTGCACTTCCCTTTAAATGTTTATTTGGGGTTCAATATTAACCCTGAAAATTAAAATCTAAGGTAGCATGCTACATCTAGTCAACCCCTCTGGAATACAAGTCCTTCTGGAGACTCAGTTTCAATTTGCTTTGTCTTATTTCAGAAGCTTCCCGTCAACAGTTGCCCTAAGACTAGTAAAGTTAACAGTAGTTATGCTTTTGACCATGGTGGTTAGCTTTTCCCACTTATGATGAAAGTACTAGTTGTGTAAATCGGGCGGCTTTACCAGCAGGAGAGAGAAAGTAGTTTGTCGCGAACAAAAAGTAAGCCACAACATGGGTTTACTTGATGCGGGTAACTTTAATTAAGATTATACCCTAGATACTGTTTTAATGATTGTAAACTGTTGAAGCAGTTTTTTTTAGTATTATATGAGTTGAAACCCTCAATTGAAAAATAACCTTATAATTTGCTTGTGGGTATCGTATTTACAAAATATACTGGTAATTGTCAGAAAAATCAGAATGCTCACTCTTTGGATTTTAGCAGTAAACTGATATTTTGGTAAGTTGTACTGATATCAGCCAGTTTTAATCGCACTTTGATGTGTATGTGACAATTCACTAATGACTTTTAAAGTTCAAGGTATGATAGGTTTGATATTTTTGTCTTATTTTAAAAACGGAACTTCACAATTCATGTTCTGTTTCTCTTTCAAGCCATATACAGTGTCTCAACTGAATTTGTGTGCTGGAATCATGGTAACAGCATCTCACAACCCAAAACAGGATAATGGTTACAAGGTAATCATGCAATTTCTTATTACAATAGTTTTGCCTCTTACTGTTACCCAAGATTAAGGCTGTATATTCCTTCCTCACATTCTAGCCCTGACGAAGACTGTTATTCATCTTTGCCCCGAGCTCACACAAAAATACTGACAAACCCCTTTTTCACGCTTTTGTTAAGTCCCACATAGAACTTTCAAATAAACTTCTTGCCAGATCTCCCATTTCAATCATTAATGAGCTCCAGCTATTCCAGAGCTCCAGATAATCCAAACCTCCATTACCCACATGCTCATCTACACCAAACTTTGCACGCCATTCACCCCAGTCCTCGATCAGGTCCAGTAAATCCCTGTCTCCCAATGGATCGACCCCAGTGTCCTCACCCTTCATGCCCTAGTATTTCTCTATCCTACCCCACTCTTTTGCTTGCCCCCTCACTCATGGGTGTGCTGCACATCCCTCACACCCTCTGCACTGCCGTCAGTGGCCTTCACTTGCTCTACCCCCTGCTATCCCTTGTCTCGGTGTCCCTTCCTGTTTTTAAATTCCTCCTTAAAACCTACATCTCCAACCACGTCTATGGTAATCCCCTCCCCTCATTCAATTAATTCATGTTGCTGTGGGACATAGTGATTCGTACACGGTGGTAAATTCCGTATTCACAGTTAAGTAGCGGTCTGCTTTGAATAATTTGAAGTTTTTATCCACTTACCTTAACCATTCTAACAAGATTGTCTCCACTCATGTTTTTGTTAATGACTTGGTCTTATTGTGTTTACAATTTTGTGTTCTTGTGTTTACAGTCTGTACTCTAGTTTTGTGAATTCTCACCACTTTCATCAGAAGACAGAAACTGAGGCACAAGTTTCAAATTCAATTCTATACTGGGGAACAAGAGTACTTACTGTATTCTGTCAAATTACCCTTTAGAAAGGGGCTTTTGATTCTGTTTTGAGATTTCCCTAAGAAATCAAAGTTCTGCTTGATTTATCCCCACATGAGGGAAGAGGGAATCCAGGGGAATGTTTTGGAAGGGTGAATGATCATGTGGAGCAGAAGCACTGGTATGGAAGAGTTGGACCAAATGTCCTGTTTCAGTGGTGTACAGACTAGTTATATGCTGTGCTATGTACAAACATTAATTTGCATTAGGTAACGCTAACCAATTGTTTATTTAATTATAAGGTGTATTGGTCTAATGGAGCCCAGATTATTCCACCTCATGACCAAGAAATCTCCAAGGCTATTGTTGAAAATTTAGAGCCATGGTCACAGTCGTGGGATGACAAACTTGTTGACAGCAGTACACTTATTAAGGATCCTTATCAGAGTATGAATGAAAAATATTTTCAGGATCTTCAGAAACATTGCTTCCACAGGTGAGTCTTCAGTGTCGGATAATTTATCATTTGAGTTCTGGTGAAGCAGATAACGTTTTGTCTAGCCACGAGTTTTTATATTGGCACTCTCATTACGTCTGCTTAGGGAGGCACACTTTTGGAGCTGAGAGCTGCACAGGGTATCTGGAGGAGGACCAATGGTTTGGAATAAAAAGCTCAGCAAATTGACATAAGCCACAAAGAAATTGGGCTTGTACCTTCATTCTCTTTTCCCTTTTCAATCCCAATTGTAAAATTTGAAAGGGCACCTACAAAATGCTAACCCGATGCTCTTTTGTGTTTGTGTGTAAAAGTCTTCGTGAAGTTGATTTGTTTTCAACAGCCAGGTTTCTGAAACTTAAATTCACAATATTTTCAGTTAACTATTTATATCTTAACCTGGCATCTTTGCACTTTTAAAATTGGGGTGGAAGACAGAAAGGGAGGGTGCCTGCAGATTTGTGATGCGTTGCATTGACATTCAGGGATATTGTACTATCGCCAGATGGGGCCAGTTTCACAGGCTTATCAATTCTTCTTCTTATTTGTCCTGCTGCTGCTTTCTTTTTAAACCTATGCTCTTGCAGTTCAAACTATTCATTTCAATTGGTTTGTAGTTAGATTCATTTTAAAAAGTTCATTGGGCTCATCTTGAGAATATTTTTTCCCTGATCTAATTTTCTTTTATATCTAGGAACAAAAATAAGGAAACAAAACTGAAATTTATCCATACGTCTCTGCATGGAGTTGGACATGAATTTGTACAGTCGGCTTTCAAAGCATTCGACTTTGCTCCTCCTATTGCAGTTCCAAAGCAGAAAGATCCTGATCCAGAATTCACAACAGTCAAATTCCCAAATCCTGAAGAGGGCAAAGATGTCCTGGTAACAAGCCTTACATAGTCACATTTTGTGCTGTTGATATTTAAAATTGTAAATTCTTAAAGCATTTTAAATGTTTTTAATGAAACAGGATTTATTTTTTCCTGTTGTCCTCGAGATAATTAAGGCATGAATGATGATTTCAGCAGCAGCGTGGTTGGGCTAGAGACGGGCAGGACATGAAGGTGGAAAAGGCAATCTTAGCAATGGACTCTGGGGTTAGAAGTACAGCTGGGAATGCCAACAGTTGCACATTGATTAAACCTGAGTGGGCAATCAAGAAGATTAATGTAGTTAGATCCAGTGACGATGTTCCTGCAGGAATTGAAAAAGTGACTTTTGTTTACATGTAGCTGAAAGAAGTTGAGGCTCCACCAGGAATTTCTAATCCTTACTTCATTCTAAATTAAATGTTGCCTTCTAATCTACTTGATGGTGCTAGATATTTACCACATATTGGGAGTATATGAATTTGAGGAACTGAATCAAGACTGTTCTGCCAGTTTTATTATATCATAATCATAGCAGATTTTTTAAATTTTCCCACCTTTTCTCTATTCCTCTTATTATCTACTTCCCACATGTGAATTTAACCCCATTTTACAGTTTCAAATTGACTATATTGCTTTCTGAGATATTGCATTTAAATTTTCTTAATCTTCAGTGTATAGCAATGCTTTGCTCATGGGTTGCTGCACTGTTAGACGTGCCATCCTCCGGATGAGATGTTAAATTAACGTCCCAGGCGAGCTGGGCATCGATATGATTGCCTTACAGTGACATCTTGATATTTTCTGTTTAAATTTATAAAACAGCATATATAATAAGGCATTGATATAACCAATCACCATTACTGAGCATTGGGGAGTTATCAAGTCAGTTTAAGAATTTATCATGAAGCACAATTTGCTATCCAGTACTTCCTTTTAAATTTGGGTAGTTTAAATGTGCCCGATTTGTAACATTCCCCTGAAATCTAAATGTTTCAGTTAAAATCTTTGATTTCATCTGTTCATGAGGAGTAGCATTTAATAACAGAAATTGTGCAGTACTGAATTATGCTCTTTGTGTATTCACTATGAATGGCCTCTTTCTCAGTTTGTTGTGGTTTGTGGTCACGTTGAGTGATTTGCAAAGATTTACCTCCTCTTAGTTGAATAACCATAGTTTTATGGTTGATGAAAGTAATTTGTGGTCTGATCCGATCCTCTATCACAGTCTCCACTGAAGCAACTAAGGATTGCAGTGATCACTGAGATCCTGGTATTAAACATGACATTCATAAGTCTTTACTGATTGCATTACTAATAATGTTTGTCTTAAAACTAAGTCTGCAAAATGCTGCTCTTTTAAATAGTATCAAGTGAACCAGTACTTCTATCTAAACAGGTTTTTTCCTATGTAATCCTGCTTCTCTTCATACTAATGTGCACCTTCCCCAGACATGGATGAGTGGCTTCATTGAAGGAATCATTATCTCCTCTTGTCACTCAATCCAAAACTGTTTGTGGGACACTGCTGTGCACAATTGACTGCCGCGTTTTGCCCACAAAATATACAGTCAGTTCACTTTACAGCAAATTCTGTGAAGCGCTTTGAGACATCTAAAAGATATGAAAGGTGCTATATCAAATGTAAAGATTATGATGATGATGATTATTATTTGTCATCCAGATTCTGAGAGGCCAGACCAGCTGAGGTGAGGTTGGCTAACATTTATTTTTCTCTAAAGCTTTCTCTTGTGTTTCTCAAATGTGAGTGATGTCATTATTTACAGAAATTATCTTTCTGCTTGGCTGAGAAAGAGGGAGCCACAGTCATTTTAGCAAATGACCCAGATGCCGATCGACTTGCTGTAGCTGAGAAGCAGCAACGGTATGTAGTAAAATGTAAAACAACAAAATCAATATATATCCCAAGATAATTTATTTAGGATGCTTAGGTAGTTCATCTCGTAGAAGGAAAGATGATTCCAATAATTTCAAGAGAGGAGAATATTTATCGGACAAGATTATGATTAATATTGTAACTGAATAAAATCTACATTTTCCATATAATCTATTTAAAAGTGTGACTAATAATAAAAACTAATATTCTGAGATGTAGTTTTAGAATTTTGCATTGCTTTAATTTTTCATCTGAGATTCTTCATTACACTGGGAGTAAGTACTTCCCACTCAGCCCCTGTTAACCCTGCAAACCAAAGCCAAAACAGGTAGGGTGGTACTAGCTGGCCATGCAGCAGGAGAGCTTGCCAAATAGTGCTTTCAATGGCAAGCAATGCAGTTTTAACTGATTAAGCTCCAGCAATATCCCAGAGCACACTCTGGGGTCTCCAAACTTGCCAGCCAGCACCCAATATTATCCAGAATTGGATAAGCAAGCTGTGTCCCTCCAGGCAGAGAGTGCATATTCTATTCTTATACACAGAATTTCCAAGTGGAGGAAGATGCATGGAGTTCTGGTTTGGATACTCTTAAGAATTGTGTTGGGTTTCCGCATATGCCTAATGCTCTGCTGACTTAAAAAAAAGTTACATGTATACATGCAAGATAGCAGTGGTGATCGTGAAACATTTTGAACTACTTGTTAGGCATTGTTTAAAGCCCATTATCATTGGTTTTTATTCACAAAATAAAAAAGGGGCATTGTTTGGATTTTTCCATTTGTGTTAAAAAGGAGAAAACCAAGGGGGGGGATGGGGGATTGTCATAAAACTGGGGAAATTTAATAAAAATCTGCCACTTATTTGACTGTTTAGCCAATGTTAAAGGTAGTCCGCACATTTTTCACAGAGCAACTACAGGCATCTTCATTTTCAGGTCACCAGCAACAAATATAAATGATTGTTTCATTTGTCCTCCTGACGTGAAAGGCACTATATAAGTGCAATTTTACGTTGTTCCAACAAATACTGCACTTGTATACTGTGCTTTGGGTCCCGAGAATGCATCATGAAGCACATTATGGATGCACAGCACCAAACTGAGATCAACTTGTGCACTGTTCAGGCATACAGAGGCCCAATGTGAGCAGATAATTTGCAAAGTTGTTTGACAAGACCTGCATCTTAGATACTGAAAATAAACTGTATAATTATGGTGAACATCAGTTTATTAAAAAAAATTCAAGTTGAAGATTCAGGAAGCAAACTATTTTAGTTTCAATCCATCTTGCATTTTTTGCTGTTTCTTGGATTATTTAAATTAGAATTGTGCCTCGAAAGAGATTGTTTATATATGATTGTTTCACTGTGGCCCATTTCTAAATTGAATGAACTGTTTTCTTAATGATTTGTGTAATTAAGTTAGTGTATTCTGCTTGTTTTAGAATTGTCTCTGAAGCCTTCTACTTTTGCTATCTTGTATTAATTTTGTAGGTTCTGCTGTGGAGGCTAGATTAGTATCTGCCCTCTAGTACAATTGTAATTGTAGTTTTAAAAAGTAGATGAGAAACCTTTAGTTCCTCTCCTCAGCTACCAAATAAAAGCATCGTCTTTAGCTGGCATTACACCCATCATGATCTGACTAGTGATTCATACCTCAGATCAGCCATATTATTTACTTTCCTTCCATATTGTATTGTAATTTCCCCTAACCCCCCCCAACCCCGGTGACTTCCTCCTGCCCATGCTTTTTGAATCTGAGCGAGTACAATATTGACACTTTTCACTCCAGCTATAGTATACATAAAGGACTGCTACTTGCAGTTTCTTGCGGTACAATGTTGGCTTTGAAGTCGTCTATTCAGAGTGCTAGCCAAGCATCATCTTTCACTGCAAGGTTGGTGAGCTATCTTCTCCATCCCAATTCTTCAGCCCCTGTCTGTTCTCTTTCTCCCCTTCCCCCACTCCCCCCATTGACCTCTACCTGTGCCAGTCATGTTGAAGGGTGACCACCACACAGTCAGCACCACACAAAGGTGTCGAGCATTCTTTGGTCAAATGTTGTGAAGCTTAGATCAGTGGTGGCCAACCTATATGGTCAGCCAACAAAATATTTTTTCTTGATTGAATATATAAATAATTATTTGGGAAGGACAAGTTTGCAGGGATCGATTTGGGTAGTTCTTTTCAAAGAGCAGATACAATGGGCCGAATGGCCTCCTTCTGTGTTGTATAATTCTATGATTTCTTGATTTATTGCCATAAATCAAGAAATATTCAATCAAGAAAAAACTGAAAACACACTAACGATCAAACAAACATTTGCCTAGACTTGTGCGAATGTTTGGGGGGCTGCTTCTTGATGGCCACAAGTTAGCCACCACTGGCTTAAATGTAATGCAAAATGCAAACTCCTTCAATAAACTGATGGATTCTGATAACGTCAACATTTCTACTTTAGTTTAGAATGGTTAGTCCTGCCTTTCTTAATAATGAAATATTTTTTACACCAATTAATCTGGTTTCATGTGCAATTTAATGGTTGAGATCAGTTCTGATAACTCTCCCTCCCCCATAGTTCATTGACCTCACTCAGCCATTGTGTAGTTTTATTTATTAGTAAAGTAAGAATTTCTTAGCACTTCATCTCATTCCTATAAGTTTAAATAGATTGGTAGCAGTTTGACAAGACTTTTAAGCATACCAACTCTAGGAGTAAATGACATCTGCAATTTTGCAGTGTGCTATATCTAATAAACTGTTGAACGCAATCTCTACTGCATTGCTCTTAATACCATTTCAGCCAGTTAACTTTTTTCAGTATGTTTGAGCAACAAATAAACACTTGTTGTCTAAGAATCAGAATTGTCATGAATAAATTTAAATACTACCACAAATCACGTCCAATTAAAGCTCTTCAAATATGTTTTGAAAGAATAGCTTATTGTTCCTAAAATATTTAGTTTAATGAATGAAAAAGTAAACTTTTTGCTTCTGACTTGGTCATGGGTTTCCTCGATTGTCGAATAGACTTTTGTTTGCATCAATGAAGTGCTTGACCTTTTTAAAAAAATATATAAAAAATAAATCACTGAACTTAATAGAATGAAACAAGTTGTTTGAGATTTCTTTCATAGTAAATCTGATTGTCACAGTAATCATAGAAATTTACAGCATAGAAGAAGGCCTTGTTCAGCATCAAATAATTCCTCTTAAATGTATGTAATATTTTCATGTTTTGACTATTTGGGTATTTTGTTCTTATAGGTTTAGATATAAACTCTTAACGGTTTAATAATAGCAGCTGCTTATACTTCTGAACTTTTTTTTCAAAAAAAAGATTGCAGTGGGATGATTTTTTTCCGAGATTGCTCACTGATACTCAGATTACTAATGAAAGTTGAGGACTAATTTATCATTCACATTTTAAATATTGAATCCTATCCAATGTTCAAAAATTGTTTTTGTTCACAGTGGGGAGTGGAAAGTGTTCTCTGGCAATGAGCTGGGTGCCTTGTTGGGCTGGTGGATTTTTAACTGCTGGAAAAGCCTACATCCTGAAAAGGATGATGTGAAAAATGTGTACATGATGGCCAGCACTGTTTCCTCAAAGATCCTCAGGGCAATTGCACTAAAGGAAGGATTCCATTTTGAGGTACTTCATCTGTTTTATTGTCTAATTATGAACAGTAGGTGTCAATGTGGAGTCCTGTGGCTCAGTGGTTAGAGCACTCGCTTTGCAAGTGCAGAGTTCAATTCCAGGCAGAGGGCGAAACCTTGGGCAAGTTTCCTTACTCCACACAGAGCCTAATAATAATCCCTTCAAAACCAAAAACAATAATAAAATTGGTCATTTTCAATCTACGACTGTTTGTGGGACATTGCTGTGCGCAATTGGCTGCCGCGTTCGCCCACAAATATACAGTCAATTCACTTTACAGTGTGTTCTGTGAAGCGCTTTGGGACGTCCTCCCGACGTGAAAAGCGCTATATCAAATGCAAGGATTATTATTATTAATATACACAGCCTGACACTGAGCAGAATAATTTCAGCTTTCACTGCTGAGAGTTTATGGTTGTAGAATTTTAATTTGAATGGCCCTTTGATTTTAAGTACTTAAGAATTATGGAACAAGACAGTTTGGCCATTCGAGTCAACATGTGCAATCTTCACAAATGTGGACTGATTTTTATATCTTCAGGGAAAATAATGTGTGGATACTGAGATATCCAAAGTTCAAGTGTAATTCTCTTACCCTTTCTGCCCACTCTTTGCGGGAAGGCCTTCAGCTACCCCTGCTCTCTGGAACTCATCCTAAATCCCTTTGTTTTCAAAACTCACCTCAAATACCATCTTAACTGTGCGTTAACCCTGTTCAGGCTTCCTCTTCTTTATCATGAGTTTAGAGGCTCAACGCAAGTACAACTTGTTGCACTATAATTCTAGAATGTTGTATCATTCATTATTTTGCTTTTATAGATTGTATTGTAAAGGCTTTCCACTATCACCAATGGTTAATTGCCAGCAGACTAGTGTCTGCCTGGATCAGTTGACAAAATATTCATCTTTAGGTTGAAAGGCCCAAGTCAGGACATTGAGCTCAGCCCAAACTGACACTCCCACTGTATTGAAGGGAGAGGTCTGCATTGCCAGAGTTGTTGTACATTGGATGAGATGTCAAACTATTGGTCCCATCCGCCTGTTCAGGTGGATGTTAAAAGATCCCATGGCACCAGTTAAAAAGAGAAAGACATTTGTCCTTCTGTCCTGACCAAATATCCTCGAAATAAAATTGTTTGTTCACTTAGTAGGACATTGCTTATGCAAATTGGTTGCACCGCTTGTCTACAAAATTGTGCACTGCAGAAAACTTGTTTTCAGATATTCTTGACAATACAGTCAATATTAAGTCATAGAATCATAGCATTATACAGCACAGAAGGAGGTCATTCGGCCCATTGTGTTTGTGCTGGCTATTTGAAAAGAGCTACCCAAATCAATCCCACTCTCTACTTCTCTCTTAAAAGTTGTTATCGAATTGGCTTCCACCAGGCAATGCATTCCAGATCCGAACAACTTGCAACATTTCTCCTCACCTCCCCTCTGTTTTAACAACTATTTTAAATTAGTGTCCTCGGGTTACCGACCCACCCGCCAGTGGAAATAGTTTCTCCTTATTCACCCTATCGAATTCCCTCATAGTTTTGAAAACTTCTATTAAGTCTCCTCTGCTCCAAGGAGAATAATCCCAGCTTCTCTAGCCTCTCCTGATAACTGAAGTCACTCATCCTTGGTACCATCCTGGCAAATCTCCTTTGCACCCTCTCCAATGCCTTGACATCCTTCCTAAAGTGTGGTGCCCAGAACTGAACGTAGTCTCGAGCTGAGGCCTAACCAGTGTTTTATAAAGCTTCATTGTAACTTCCTGACCTTTGTATTCTATGCCCCTATTTATAAAGCCTTGTATCCCATATGCTTTTTAACAGCTTTATCTGCCTGTCCTGCCACCTTCAAAGATTTGCTTATATGAACCCCCAGGTCTCTCTGTTCCTTCACCCTTTTAAGATTGTACCATCAGCTTATATTGCCTCTCCTCATTCTTCCTCCCAAAATGCATCAGATCGCTTTTCTCCACATTAAACTTCATCTGCCACCTGTCTGCCCATTTTACCAGTCTGTCTATGTCCTCTTGCAGTCTGCTACTGTCCTCCTCACTGTTTACGACTTTTCCAAGCTTAGTATCATCTGCAAACTTGGAAATTGTACTCCCTATATCCAAGTCCAGGTCATTTATTATCGATCAAAAACAGCAGTAGTCCCAATACCGACCCCTGGGGACAACACTGCACACTTCCCTCCAAGTCAGAAAAACAACCGTTCGCCAATACTGTATGCTTTCTGTCTCCCAGACAGTTCTGTATCCATGCTGCTACTGTCTCTTTAATACCGTGGGCTTCTGTTTTGCTTGTAAGTCTCTTATGTAGCACTTTATCAAACGTCTTTTGAAAATCCATATAAACTACATCAACTTCACTACCTTCATCCACCCTCTCCGTTACTTCATCAAAAATGTATAAGTTAGTTATTTTTATTATTACTCTGATGTGTATTTGGTCACTGTTCATATTTTCTTTTATTAGGAAACCTTAACTGGATTTAAATGGATGGGGAGCAGAGCCAAAGAACTTGTGGATCAGGGCAAGACTGTGCTTTTTGCCTTTGAGGAAGCTATAGGTGAAGCTGTCATTAACTGCTGTTTTTCCAGATTTTTTTATTTTGAAGTTTTTGAATGCATTTTGTAGCTGATGAAATAATGGGTGTCAAGTAAAGCCTCAAAATATAAAAAGAGGAATGTTCCCCACTTGAAATTTAATCTCTCAATATCTGCCCATTTCTTTATGAACTCCCAAAGTGTTTGAATTTGTTTGGGGTTTCTCTTGCACCTTTGCAAGGCTCACAGGTTATAGAATGGATTATTAAAAGAATATCTAAACCATTTTAGGGGTGGTAAAGGAAGAAATGAGGGCTCTCTGAGTGAGAGGTGTTCAGTACATCAAATTAACACATTTGAAATGTAGAATATAAAATAAAATCAAAACTAATCTTTATAAAAGAACAACAACTTGCATTTATAAAGCTGTTCACGTAATGTCTTGGAGCATTTTACAGTGGGTGGACAGATGCCAACCCCGGGCGGGGGGAGGCGATTGGAGGGGTGACCGTACCGTTTAGGGGCAGGTGAAGGGTTTTTAAGGCTGGACTTGAAGTTGGATAAGAGAGGGTGGTGTAGGTCGGACAGAGACGCATATCATGCTGCGTGGAGGTGATGAACCGCAGGATAGGAGGAGGTCGGAAAGCTAAGGAAGTGTAGGTGTGTAGACTTGAATTCCATTGTTTTGAATTTTGTGTTTCAATGCAATTCAATTAGGCAACAGTCATATGGTACAGTAGTTTCACTAAATTGATAATATACATTTTAATACACTCATACAGACTGCTTGGTTGAATTTTTTTTGACCACACACACATAAATACATACACACACACATACACACAAAAGGAAACAACTGAATTGGGAAGTCCTCAGACATCAATTTCCATTTGATGAGATGAACCTCAACTACTGCATCTGTGGTCTGTGTGGTGTGATTAATGAGTCAATAGGAAGATAGCCAGTACTAGAATATGAAAGGCTTTTATCAATTTAAATATCAGCTTGAAAGCACTTCTCTGAGAGGTAAACTAAGGGCCAGAAGCAGACTAATGTTCCTTAGTCCCAGCCTCAAGAGTATCGCTGCTGCCTCAGTGTGATTTCTCAGTTTTCCATACCTGCTGCCGTGACCTGTGATTGTGATCTTTGGCTTTTGCTGTGGACTTGTTTTTGCTAGAAACAAAGTTTAAAGTGTTTTCAAGTAACATCAGTTAAGCCATCAGCAAGATGGAGAAGAGTTACGTTCCACCCCTTGGCTTGGTTATTAATTGTAATTAAAGGAAGTGCTCTAATTCAACTATCACTCAGGCTCTCATCTGTAACATGGTGTTATAAAGCAATTGCTAATGAGGATAAAGAACTTAAGAATCTGGGGCTTGGCAGACTCATTTGTATTTTGAACCAGGAGTATTATTTCAATGGAGATGAGCTAAGTGAATGAAATTTATTTTGCAATCTTATTCTCGTTTGTAAAATACAGGTTATATGTGCAGTGAATCTGTCCTGGATAAAGATGGTGTCAGTGCTGCTGCAATTGCTGCTGAATTGGCCAGTTATTTGGCAACCAAGGATCTCACCTTGACTCAGCAGCTCAAAGCAATTTATGAAGAGTAAGTATTAAAATAATACATTGATTTATTATCCATCAATTAAATTTGACTTCTTCCTTGCCATTAAAATGTATTGATGTTTATATAATATAGTTAATCAGGTATTTCTGTCTGCAAATTCAGTTATGAAATTAATTTGATTGAAAATAATAAAGTTACATGATATTACATTAATGGCATGGATACAGTGTCAGCCTGGTTCAGTTGGTAGTATTCTCGTTTCTGGGTCAGAAGGTCAGTTAGTTCAAGACGTAAATTGGGACTTGGAACCAATGTAGTCCATCCTGACTCTCCAATGTTGTGCTGGAGGTGTGCTGGATTGTCTGAGGTGCCATTTTTCAGATGAGATGTAAAAATGAGGTCCAGTTGGATGTTAACGATCCCATAATACTATTGGAAAAGAGATTCTCCCAGTGTCTTGGCCAGTAATTCCCCAATAAAATTGGTCACTCACTCCAAGGCTATTTGTGGGATTAGCTTTGTGAAAATTGGCTATCGTGTTGGACCACAAAATACACACAGTTGCACCAATTTACAGTATATCCTGTGAAGTACTTTGAGATGTCTGAATGAAATAAGAAATAATTTCAAATGTAAGAATTACTATTATTGGGAATGTTCTCACTTGAAGCATAATATGTAATGCCAACACCAAATTGACTTGGCTGGTTAGTAATCATCACTTGCACTGAAATTCCAGCAGATGGCACTTGGATCAACCATTTATTTGCGTGTACAAAATCTGGACAGTGGTAAACTAGTTCTGTTTTGGACACTAATGCAAGCACAAGGGGCTGAATGATCCGTTTCCTCCCCGCACTACATTTGAAGGCCGGTGTCCTGCCTGTCAGGGCCCACCTCCACATACAGACACAAAGAGAGACACACACACTTATAGACACACACCAACACTCACAGCCACAGGGGGAGACACACACCAACACTCACAGCCACAGGGGGAGACACACACACCAACACTCACAGCCACAGGGGGAGACACACACACCAACACTCACAGCCACAGGGGGAGACACACACCAACACTCACAGCCACAGGGGGAGACACACACCAACACTCACAGCCACAGGGGGAGACACACACACCAACACTCACAGCCACAGGGGGAGACACACACACCAACACTCACAGTCACAGGGGAAGACACACGCACCAAAACTCACAGCCACAGAGAGACGCACACAGACACTCACAGCCACAGAGAGACTCGCACAAACACTCACAGCCACAGGGGGAGACACACACACACACTTGCGAAGGTGCACATGCACGCTTGCAGAGAGAAGCACAGAGACAATCACAAACACACACATACAGCCACATACAGAGGAAAGAGACACACACTCACAATCAGAACAGAGGGGCCTCGGGGTGAGCATTGCAGCGGAAATGTCGTTTGTAGTGGATTCCACAGAAAAACTGCATTTGCACTTTTCTATTGGCCCTGCTCATAACTGACACTCCAATGCAGTGCTGTGGGTGTGCTGAACCGTTCTTCAGATGAGATATTAAACTGCTAAACTGCCCATTCAGCTGGATGTTGAAGGTCCTATGGTATTATTTAAAAAGAGAAGGGAGGTTATTTTTTTCCTGGTGTCCTGATCAACAATCTCCCAAATAAATGTTTTCATTTTCATTTCATAGTTGTTTTGAGACATTTGCTGTGTGCAAATGGGTTGACATGTTTGCCAATAAACAGTTATTCTAGTTTACATTATATCCTGTAAGATGTCCACCTGATCTGAATGAACCTATTTCCAATTTTATTTATTATTGTATGAATAATTGAACCCACAACTTTCTGACTCAGAAATAGGAATGCAACCAACTAAGCTGATTCCTTGGTACGAAAGCACAGAGCCACTCACACACTGATGGTCACGTTTGATGTTAACCTGAATGACCACATCAAAACTAATGCATTCATAGATATTGATGGGGAAATTATTTCATTACTGTACAGTCATGCGTCGACATGGCTGCTGGAGCAGTCTGGTATGTGTATTCTCACCTACAACCCCCCCCCATGGCCTCGCCTCGCCTCAAAACCCTCCTCTTCGACTATGCCATCGGTCACCCCCCTTCTCCCCTCCCTTTTCCCCCCCAACCCCAGCTCGCGTCTGAAATGCTGTACACTGTCCAGTGCCTTGGGACGTTCTCCTGACGTGAAAGGTGCTATACAAATGTAATGTTGTTGTTGTTGATGTTCACCTATGTGTAAACTTCAGCTATATTGATTACAATGGTACAATAAATTTTTCTTTCTTACGTTCATCTAGATATGGTTATCATCTCACAAAGGCTTCGTATTTCATCTGCCATGACCCTGAAACAATTCAACGTTTGTTCAAGAAACTAAGAAACTATGATGGAGAGAACCAATACCCGAAACATTGTGGCAAATTTGAAATCTCAGATGTTCGAGATTTAACCACTGGCTATGACAGCAGCCAACCTGATAAAAAAGCCGTACGTACAGGATGAGTCGAAGGTCATAAAAGTGTTTCCATTTAGATAGCTTTTCACCACTTACTTCTCAAACTGTTGTATGTCAGGGTCTTGATTTATTTCTAATATATTAATTAATATTAATCCTTACATTTGATAGAGCATTTTTCACTTCAGGAGGACATCTCAAAGTGTTTCCCAGGATTTACTGTAAAGTGGAATGATTGCACACTGAAACCCTGGCTATCCGGACCAATGGGGGGTAGATCCGAAATTTCCAGCTAAGTGTAGTTCCAATCCCGGAACCAGCATTTATACTGGCTTTTTTTCCACGCCAGCTTTTTTCAGTACCAGTAAATGGCGGTACCAGCATTGTAATTGCATGAATTCTACAAGGAGAAGATAGCGAATAAGCTATCTTCTGCGTGTGCGATTGAAACTGAGTCAAAGTCGATACCCCTGGGACACTGAAGGCCAGCAAATATGATGAGGTAGGAGGAGAGTGGAGCTGGTGCGAGTCTACACATGGCCCGCAGAATTTTTCTTTGTGATTTTTTTTAAAATTACATTTCAGGCCGTTTCAGCTAGGTCCAAATTCCAGATACCCGGAGTCCAGTAAGTTTACTGTATTTTGTGGGGCAATGCAGCAGCCAATTTGTGCACAGCAATATCCCACAAACAGCCATGAAGTGAATGACAATTTTTGTGTGATTGGGGGGATTATTTGTCAGGAAACTTCTCTTTTCAAATAGTACCATGAAATCTTTAACGTCCACCTGAACTGGCAAAAGACACAAAGTGTTTGTTAATTTGTTTCCCTCCAGGCCTCCTGAAACCCAGTGAGTTTTTTGTTGTGTGAATAACACTGAAAATTATAGGCCTTTCGCTAAATAAGATTTGAGTTTATATCCCACTACAGAACTTCATTGTCAGCATATCTATCCTTCAGGTAAAAAATTAAATCGAGATCTAATCTGACTGTTGAGGTGAATGTTAAGCACTGTCGAGCATGCCCCATTCCATTTATTTAAAAAAAAGTTCCCACAACAGAGTTTGGATTAACGCAAAATCATGTGTATATTGTGCATTGGCATACCATGCTACCGTATATGCAGTTTTTTTTACAATCCAAGACTTGTCAATCAAAGGTTTGCCAGTTTCCCCTGCCTAGCTGCAGTGCCACACTCACCAGCTTCATGTCGATGTGCAGAGCACCAGGCCCTCACTCCGTCACCATGGCCCGAAATGAAATATGTCAGTTGATTGGTCCATGTTACAACAAAATGATATTTGTATAGCGCCTTTCACGTCGGGTGGACATCCCAAGGTGCTGGACAATCAGTGTTTCGGACCCGAGCTGGGGGTCAGGATTGGGGAGGGTGGAGAGCAGAGGGGGGAAAGAGGGTGATTGAAGGCACGTTTGAAGAGGAGAGTCTGGACACGGGGCTTGAAAGAGGCAAGCGAAGGGGTGAGGCAGAGAGATTGCGGGGTGGAGTTCCAGAGGGTGGGGGCAGAGTGGCTGAAGGCCCACCCACCAGGAGAGGACACTGGCTACAGAGTTCTGGATGACCTGCAGCCTATGGAGGGAGGATGGATGTATTTTTGGATACCCATGTGTGCACAGTACACATTTTTAAAAATCCTATCTTGATCTCTTTAATCGTGTCCAGGGCATTAGCTATTCTATTGAGTGACCATATATCACAAAGATCTCTGATAAAATAATGTATAGATGTTTCTTACACAATTACAGTATAAACCAAATTTTCTTTATATCTTTAATCTTTATAACCTAGTTTTCTCTTAAACACTAATGGTAATAAATCCATATATCTTTATGTAATTTAATCATTCTAACCTGTCTGTGTGGCAGATCCTTCCGACCAGCAAAAGCAGCCACATGATTACCTTTACATTTGCCAATGGATGTGTAGCCACCATAAGAACAAGTGGGACAGAACCCAAAATCAAGTACTACGCTGAACTATGTGCACCTCCTGGAAACAGGTAACATATTTACAATTTTAAGTAGAAATACTTTGGAACTATGGTCAAATATGTGGATAGGTAATTAGAGAATGTAGAGCATTTTAGGGCAAGAGCTGTGTTTTTTTATATATATATATGTATATATACTAGTGCATTCATATTAAAATTATTTGAGCAGCATACTGTATTAACTGTGGTGCAGGGTGGTAGATCGCATGTTTGCGCACAAGATACTTTTCTTCACAAGTTGCACCTCTTCACAAGTTGCAGACTATCTAGAACACTGCAGCTCGTGTACTTTCCTGCACTAAACTCAGTGAGACTTCTGGCTGATCTGCAGTGGTGGAAAGTCCAGTGAGCAGTGGTGAAGTTTAGCCTGGGCATTTTGAAAGTATGGACAAGGGTCTCAGAGGTAATGGCAGAGCCGGGCAATATTGTGGAGGTAGTGGGGAAAACTGAACGGGTCAGGGCACAAATGTAGGGTTTAAAGAACAGCAGAAAGTCAAATAGGATACAGAAATTCCACACTGGTTCTGTTAAGTGGAGTGTGCATCCGTGTAGATTGATGCTGTCAGTGCCTGAGGTGAGAAGCTGCTGACGGGAATCAAGATGGAGAGCTCTGTCTTTTCGACATTCAGCTGGAGAAAGTGAGCTCTCATTCAGGACTTGATGTCCAACAGGCAATCAATTGGTCAGAACAGCAGCGGTCTTGGAATTGGTGGAGGCAGAGAGATAGAGTTGGGTGTTCTCTGCATACATATGGAACTTAACCCCCTGCTTGGGGATAACACGGCGAGCAGGAGCATGTAGATATTAAACAACTACCACAAAATTACAAGAGGAGAGGGAGCATTTTCCTGAGCAGTTCTCTTAAAATTCACACTTGTGTTTCTTTCCTTCTGTCTCTCCTCCTCTCTCCGCCCCCACCACCCCATATCCAGGTGGAATGCCCACCTCAAATTTAATCTCTAGTTAGATAGTAAAAAACTCAGCAGGAAAGTGACAGTGCTGAACATATGACCGCGTGGGCCTGTGACCATCTAGGAAAATTAATGTATTGCTAATTAGCAATGTATTTAGATTCTAATTACAAGATGTAAGGAAAACCTAGAATGGGGAAAATTCTGCACTGATTATTATATAGCATATTCAGCTTGTATGGAGTCCTGCTTAGCGGTTACAGCACTCACCTTACAAGCGAGAGACCTGGGTTCGATTCCCAGCAGGGCGAAATGTTGAGCAAGTTTCCTGACTCCACATGTCTCTGTTTACCTAGCAGTAAGTAGGAACCTGGTCATTAGTCGATTGACAGATCGCTCTTCCGGGGGTAGACATTCCTTCAAAAAATAATAATAATAAATTCACTTCAATCCATGACTGTTTGTGGGACGCTGCTGTGCTCAATTGGCTGCTGCGTTTCGCCCACAAAATATACAGTCAATTCACTTTATATTCTGTGAAGCGCTTTGAGACATCTTGAAGACGTGATAAAGCGCTATATCAAATGCAAGGATTATTATTAGTATTAGTATTTAATCTCTCCACATATCAAATGCAGAATGCTTTACAGTTCCTTGTTTGTTTACTTGTTTGTCTTCTTTTCCCAGTGACCCAGAGCGGCTGAAGGAGGACCTCAATGATTTGGTCAATGCTTTGGTGAAATATTTCTTCCAACCAGATGAAAATGGTTTGATATCTCAATCTCCCTGAAGCCTTTCTGAATTTTTCCCACACCTGTTGATTTAATATTAAGTTGTTGTTAATGTTAATTAGGATACAGTTACTTATTGAATTATGAATGTTATGATTGTCAAATAAGAAAAACATTATTTATCCAAACTCTATCTATATTATATATAATATATAATATATAATATATATATATTAGTTTGTTTTTTTCTTACTGGGTTTGTACTTTGTTTTGCAAAAAATTGATTGTACTTGGGTAGCTATTGACTTGAAATTTTATGTAGAAGTTAAGAACACCCACCCCAAAGATAAGACTTGAAAATTCTCCAGTATTTTACACTATACACCCATTACAGATTTGAATTCTGTTCATATAATTTTTTTGTGCAACAAACTAAACTTAGCAAACAATAGCACCCACCCTCCGGAACTCCATCCCTGAGCCCCTCCACCTCGCTCCCTCCCTTGCCTCCATCAAGGCCTGTCTCAAGAGCTTCCTTTTGGACCGTGCCTTTCGTCATCTACCCTCCACCAAACTCTTGCCTTCCACCTCTCTCTCTGATCCCATTCACTGTTAAGTGGAGTGACTGCATTTGTGGGCGAATAGTGCCATAGGATCTTTAATGTCTACCTGAACAGGTAGACAAGGGTCTTATCCAAGGGTCGGCACCTCCGACAATGCAACATACCCCTAGCACTGCATTGGAGTGTCAGTATAGACTAGGGGAGTTCAAGTGGGACCTGAACACACAACCTTCTTAAAGGCGACACTTCTCCTCTCACAGACACTGCGAGGGGAAGAATTGCCTCTATGCAACATTCCAGATTGTACTGAAATGCTGCAATGTTCCTGAAAGTGGCAACAGGCTATTCATTCCTGAGAAGTACTTGAAATTGAATTTTAAATTCTTTACACCTCATATAAAGTTCCAGGGAGGGCATTAAGGGTTTTAGCCATTTTTTGAAGGTTTAGATTACCTTAGGAATTGTTGCCATGGTTTGCCACTCTACATTCGCATTCCAAAACTGTCCTACACTCTTATAGTGGAGTCCTGTAGCTCAGTGGTTAGAGCACTCGCTTTGCAAGCGAGAGACCCGAGTTCAATTCCAGGCAGGGCGAAACCTTGGGCAAGTTTCCTTACTCCACACGCCTAATAATAATCCCTCCAAAACAAAACAATAATAAATTGGTCATTTTCAATCTACGACTGTTTGTGGGACATTGCTGTGCGCAATTGGCTACCGCGTTCGCCCACAAATATACAGTCAATTCACTTTACAGTCTATTCTGTGAAGCGCTTTGGGACGTCCTCCCGACGTGAAAAGCGCTATATCAAATGCAAGGATTATTATTATTATTATTATTATTATTATAACTTACTCCCAGGTAACGTGTATGCAATCTCTGTGTGACTGAAAATCATTTTTATGGAAGTAGACATGTTTGCAGTAGGTTTATGACCATTCCTTCCTCATTGCAAAGTTTTTTTTAGATTATTGACCAATTTTGTTTGACATGAGAACAAAGCATTAATCCAAAACAATGCTATCCACTCACCAAGGCTGTTCCTTCCACAAAATGTGCAAAGTTTACATGATCATACTTCACCACATTGTAGCACTATATCCACTTACATCCTTGTATGTCTGGCTTTGAATGCTTTGTATAGTTTTGCAACTGGCACTCTCATATCAATACAATATTAGCAGTATGATGCCAAAACAGTCGCATAAGATGGTGTGGGTACATTGTTGCAAGTCCATAATAATAATAATCACCTTTTTATTGACAAATGTATTAAATGCTAATCTATACGGTATTTACTTATTCATTAACATTATTATTCAACTGTTATTGATGCAGCTTTCCAAAAATAGCTTTACACAGGTCATTAGCAAATGGGTAGTGGAGGTCAGGAAGCTGGACTCCTTAATACACCATTAGCTGCTAAAATGGGTATTATGAAAAGGTTGAAGTCAAATGGTCTGCAGAGCCTTCATCTGAGTGCAGAAGAGAACCAGTCTTTTTCATTTGGATTAATTTTGTGTCCTGTGTTTTACAAATTGAAAGGCAACTTGCAATTTGCAGCTGAGAGCCTTTAAAGGACCTGAAAAATCCCTTTCAATTGTTTTAATGGGGGCCCCCTTTTTGAATATCAACCAAAATGATGTTGGTTTTATCAAGATCTGCCAAATTTGGATTGTATGCACCTTTTTATTGGCAAATGTGTTAAACTGCTGATTTATATTTATTGATTAACATTATTAATTGAACTGTTATTTATGCAGCAGTCAAAATGAAAACTGCATGAACAGAATGCAATTTAATAGGCATTTTAATGAAGATATATAATAATCCCATAATCAACTGGGAAAAGGGAACAATATTCTAATATCATGCGAATACAAAGAGTGTTGACGGGTCCTAATGTTAATTCACATATTGGTTTACTTATAGTGCATCTCATTCTTAACATTATGGGGAAAGACTGAAAAAAATTATTGTATTATATTTGAACATCAAAAGGAGAGGAAACATTATCTCTGGTGAAATTATTTCATTTGCAAATCTATAATCTCTTGAAAAACCTGCCAGTTTTTTAATAATTGCCTATGCTACATATCAAAGCAGTACAGTAAAGGAACACTTGTGCACATTGAATAATGTGTGCATACTGAACTATCTTTCCAGAATGACCATAAAGCTCTGTCTTGGTTTACAGCAAAAATTGTATTATGCATTAACAGCTTATATAACTATCAATGAATTTACTATAACTAGCACTTTTTAGGATATTCTTGTATTAAATCATAGTTGACTAATTCACTATAATTCATTTAAAAAGATTGGTGAGTTTATAATTAGCTGATTATGATTTTAGATCTGAAAAACGAAAGCTTTCACAGTCAGTGTTTTTAAAAGCCCACGTTTTGGGATTATTTTCCATGTTCTAACTATTGATTAAAAAACACTGATATCAATATGCTGTTTTGTTTCATTATCGTAGCCCATGACTGCATTGAATATAATTTGTCATCGGTTGGCTCATTCTATTTCATCCACGGTGAACCATTTTTTATACACTTTGCTAAAGCTTTGTGTAAGAACTTGTAAATATGGTGAACCATCAGAGTAAGGACTTTTTTTCCATGAGTAAAAGTTCATTGCATTGCCAGTAAAATATATCCATCCATTATTCTTGGTTACAAATGCCTAATAGTAAAAAGATTATGTGCACACACAGTAGAACCTCAGAACTCATCAATGCAATGTTTATGTCCAATGTTTCTCCAAACTGGGGCATGTCTCAGAACTGTGGCTCATATCCTCTCCCACACCAGGCTCCATGACCCCCACCCTCGCCAGATTCCACTGGCCCCCATCTCCAAGAGGATAAAGTTCAAAATCCTCATCCTTGCCTTCAAAGCCCTCCATGGACTCACTCCTCCCTACCTCTATGACCTGCTAACTCCATAGTGACCTGTTCAATCCCTCCGCTCAGCAGGCTCCAGCCCACTTCACGTCCCCTACCTAGTCCCCTCCACCATCAGTGGTCGGGCCTTCAGCCTCTCTGGCCCCATCCTTTGTAACTGTATCCCCCAGTCCCTTCGTCTTGCTCCCTCCCTTGCCTCCTTCAAGGCCCATCCCTTCTCTTTGACCACACCTTCGGTCACCCTCCTCCTCTACCCTCCCTGCCCCCTCCTGATCCCAACCCCAAGTTCAAGTCCAAACTCCTGAATGTCTAGCGCCTTCCAAAGTCCTCCCAATGGGAAAGGCATTATACAAAAGCAAATTGTTGTTGCCTCTGCTCCTAGTCTCTTAGGCAGGTGTGTGAGGACAGTGGGGGTGGGAGAGATGGCAATGGGGTGGCGGGTGTGTGAGGACAGTGGGGTTGGGAGAGGTGGCAATGGCGTGGCGGGTGTTGTGTGAGGACTAACGTGGGAGTTGCTGGAGGGTAGTCTGAGCCCGGGCAACCACATCTGCAGCAAATGTCTGCAATTGAGGCAGCTTCAGCTCAGAGAGCTGGAATCCAAGATGTAGACATTGCACAGCATCAGGGACAGTGAGTGCTTCCTGGATAGTTTCATCCTGGAGCCAGTCACTCCCCTGAGGCTCAGGGAATGTATAGATAATAGTATCAGTCAAGGTTAAGAGAACACCAGAGAGAGGGTAGTGAAGCCTCAGGCTTTAACCTTGGCCAACAGGTACGACAAGATCCTTGCAACCTGTGTGGACAAGGAAGCCTGTGAGGAGGAAGGAAAATGTGAATCCAATATATAGGGAAACAAACAGAAAGTTATGATTAGACAAAGTCAACATGGCTTTACAAAAGGGAAGTCATGTTTAACAAATCTTTTGGATTTTTTGGAGCACATATCAAGTAGATTAGATAGGGGGGAATCAGTGGATGTAGTGTATTTAGATTTCCAAAAGGTATTTGATAAGGTGCCGCATAAAAGGTTGATCCACAAGATTAGAGCCAATGGAATTAAGGGGAATATATTAGCATGGATTGAAGAATGGCTAACGGGAAGAAAACAAAGAGTAGGGATAAACGGGTCCTTCTCAGATTGGTGGGATGTGACTAGTGGAGTGCCACAAGGATCAGTGCTTGGGCCTCAACTATTTACAATCTACATCAATGAATTAGATGAGGAAATAGAACTTAATATATCCAAATTCACAGATGACAACTTAGATTCACTAGGTTGGTACCTGGGATGAGGGGGGTGAGTTATGAGGATAAGTTGAGCAATTTAGGCTTATATTCTCTAAAATATAAAAGAATGAGATGATCTTATAGAAACCTATAAGATTATGAAGGGGCACGACAGAATAGACAGTGGGAGACTTTTTCCCCTGGTTGGAGAAACTATAACCAGGGGTCACAGTCTTAAAATTAGGGGTAAGCCCTTTTGCACTGAGTTAAGGAAAAACTTCTTCACTCAGAGAGTAGTGAATTTATAGAATTCTCTACCCCAAAGGGCTGTAGATGCCCAGTCCTTGAATATATTCAAGACTGAGATTGATAGATTTCTTGTGGATAAAAGGATTAAGGGATATGGGGATAAGAGGGTAGGTGGAGTTAGAATAGATCAGCCATGATCTTAT